CTCTTCGTTCCGGCTGCCACCACTCACTGAATTAAGTCACCGCCTTCCTTGAGGGACAGTGAGACCCCTCTGGCTAACTTTCCCACCTTGGGAAGTAGTTATCTCAATGTTTGGGCGCCCCCTGGAGGGTTGGCAACCCACCAGTTTTAGGCCCATTTAAGTCCACTGGCCTCCCTTTGCCCCTGGTAACGTGCAGAGCGGGGGAGTCTAGGTGGTTGAGGCACACCAGGCTTTTTAAACTCAACAAAGGAAGATTTATTGAACTATATACATTCTGGGGCATAGAAAATAAACTCAGGCACTTCAACACAACCTGGGCACACAAAACAAACAGAATCAAAACGCAAGACTTCTGTCCCTACCACACACCCTCTCTACTTCGGTAGTGGATTGCGGCCTCAGGCCAGGATTTGCGGTTCCCTCTCCGGTTGTGGAGAGAAACTCCAGCCCTTCTCCACGGAACTGGCCACCCTCCTGGCTCTCCACCACGGTCAATAGTGGCCTGGATTGCCCTCAGAGTCTCTGATGACAGGAGTCCCACCTGCGCTCTTCCTTAAGCCTGCCGTCCACGCCGAAGACCAGGCTGAGACTGACTTTTTTCCTCAGGAGCCAAACAGTCACTCTCTCCCTGGCCCCACCCCTTGGCTCTGTCCCTCTTTTCCCGCTCTTTCCCCCCAAGGGATGCTGGGAAGTGTAGGCAGGGAGGTATGGCAGCTCCATTGTTCCCTATGGAGCACCCCCCCACACACATAGGGAACTACCAGGTTGGTATCTGTTTTAAGGGCTGGCAGCCATTTCGTCACAGCCTCCATCCCGCTTTGGAATGGTGAAATAGTGGGAATAGAATCCCCTGCCCTATAGATGCAGTGGCACCAGCTCGATGGCTCCCTTCAGCAGAAGGACAGACACTTTTTCCAGAAGGGCTGGAGAAGGGGGTGTGGAGACGAAGATGGGGGTAATGGGGTTCTGAATGAATTCTATACGGTAACCCTGGGTCAAGGTGGACAGCACCCATTCGTCTGTGGTGATGAGGCGCCAAGTTTGGAGGACGGGGGTTAGACGGGTTGGATGTGACTGGAAGACATGGAAGTCAAAAACCCTGCTTGGAGGACTTTGCCTGCTTACTGCAGGAAGACTGTTGTCCCGATCCAAATCTAGGTTTCTGAAATGTGGGCTTCTGGCCTCCAGAGGATGTACGTGGCCTCCATTGCCGGTCAGAAGATTGACGGTTTGGGGTGTGTTTTTGCCAGGGTCTAGACCAGGGACGAGGTCTGTATTGCTGCCTCATGGGTGAAGAAACGCCCAGAGCACAAGAAGCTTTTATGCTTTTATTCATATCTTGTAATATGGTGTCTGTAGTACTATTAAACAGACCAAGGCCATCGAAGGAGAGGTCCTCTATGTATTACCTAGTATCTGGCTGTAGATTGGTGTTACGTAGCCAGGAATGTCTTCGGAGAGCTATGGCTGAAGCCATTGTCCTTGAGCAGGTGTCTAGGGCATGTTTAGAGGTATTAATTTGTTGTTTTGTCAGCATAATGCCCTCCTTTTGGATGATGCGGGCTGCTTGACGCTTGTCTTCTGGAAGGTTTGCCAGAAGCTCAGAAAGCCTCTCTCACAAAGGGTATTGGTATCTACTCATACACGCTAAGTAGTTGGTGGTCTTCACCCCTAGCGCTCCAGTAGAGTAGAAATGTTGTCCAAATGCATCTATCTTTCTGCTCTCCCTGTCTGAAGGTGCAGAATGGGTTCTCTTCGACTTGGATGAGGAAGTGACTATCATGGAGTTTGGTTGAGGATGGGCAAATAAGAATTCCGCTCCTGTTTCCTGGACTCTATACCAAGCGACGTGTGGACACTGGAGCCGATGATGGTTTATCCCATGGAGCTTTAGCTGCCTGCAACAGGACCGTAGACATGGGTAGTGCTATAGCCGTTGATGTATCGAGTTGTACTACATCGAAAACGGCATCTGTAACCTGTGGTTGTGGTTGTACGACTGAAAGGCCAAGGGAGTGGGCCATTCCTTTACAAGGTCTCCATATGAAGTTAAATTGTCAGATGGAGATATAGGTTGGTCGTTGGCTACTACCTGGTTAGGAGACGGCTGGTCAGGGGAGCTGTGCACATCTGAAGCCCCTGTATCAGAATCCTCATCCACAGAGTCAGAGGAATCGGGCTCTGGTAATTGTACCAGAGTGGTTTTGATCTGATTGGTTGGATCCGTTGATGGTGGGATAGGGGGACTGGGAGGACGATATTGATCTGGTCGATGTCGAGGAGGGTCATCAGATGGATGATCTGGAGAACGGGAGAGAGATGCTGAGGGCCTATGGGGTGACCGTGATCTGTGGGCAGAGTAACGATCCCAATCAGAGTAACTTGCAGGAGTCAACCACGGCATGGATGCGGGTGGATAAGCCCCATAAACGCAGTTGGCGGTGATCCCAGGAGAGAGGAGGAGGGGGGGGGCAGGAAGACTCGTGGGGATCTACTCCTAGAGTGGGAGCGTCTGGGAGACAGCGTAGGATCTTGTCTCCATGAGCGGCCCCTAGTAGCCCGATCATCGATATCGAAGGGCCGATCCTCAGCAAAGAGACGGGGAGGATGACGTTGAGTGTTCGGAGGGATCTGTATGCCGACCTTGATCGATATCGGCATGGAACTCCGAGACCGTCGATGTCGATGACTGAGCAGAGGGAGAGCGATCCGTGCCCAGGGGACGACTGAGGATCTTGACATCAATGTCGGAGAAAGGATGCATATCAACGAGCGTGTCATGGTCTAGCTGGTGTATCGGAGAGTCCATCAGCTGGATGGTCGGTATCGGTGGAGCAACTGTAGCCTCCAATGCCGATACTGCCGTTGGAGTGGGGGGGGCACCTTAGGGGCATTACCCGGTGCAGGACCCGCGACTTTTCCAGACTTCGCCGCCTTTAGAGCCTTAGAGGAACCCTTTTTGGCAGACTTGCGCTCTTTACCCGATTTTTTTCTTTTTCACGGGAGTGGATGCCAAAGACTGCGCCATCGGTGCTGGGTACTTCAATGTTGACTGGACGATATCAGACAAGGACTTCGATACTGGAGCCATCAATGGCATTACTGGCACTTCTGGATCCATGACGGAAGTGGGATTTAGCGCCGATTCCAGTAACGCCACCTGGAGACGCGCTGCTCGGTTTTTCCTGGTCTGATTTGAAAACTTAGCGCGGTGCCGACAGGACTCTGGCCGGTGTGTCTCGCCAAGACAAAAAATGCAAAGGGTGTGGCCGTCAGATGGAGCAAGCTTACTGCCGCAACCCTTGCAACGATTGAAAAAGCCCCACTTCTTCTCCATAAAATAAACAAATAGAGAAGAAAAAGAGGTGGGGGGGCCCGAAGGCCAAACTGAGGTAAACGGGAAAAAAACCCCTCCTTTTTTTTTTTAAACGAAAACAACAAAACTAGGTAGAAGCGAAAAATAAAGAAAACTGAAAAGAAATCCGAAGAGCCTCTGAGGAAAAATAGCTACCGATCAGACCGACGAAAGGAAGGTGCTTCCAGCGCAGTGGAAAGAAAGGAACTGGCAGGATGTCCGCGCCCACCCCTCTGGGCATGCATGGTGGGGTTCTTGCGCATGCCTGAGGTCTGGGCGCGAAAATCCATTAAGAGCTTGCTACAATGCCGATCCATCCAGCGCAGGCGCACTGTATCCCATGGGTGTGAAGCACAGAGACCACGTCGGAGATCTGTAACTTAAAAGAGAGAGATTACCTGAAATTAAAAAACAAAACACAATAGTTCTTTCACCTGATATTTGAAATTCCTTGTTTCTGAATACTGTCTGTATGAAATAACGAGAACTCTTGTGTCATCTCAAAGACTAACAGCAATTTTATTCCAGCATAAGCTTTCATGGACTGGAGCCCATTTCTTCAGAAGCTATGAGTGAGCTCTAGTAGTTCATGATAGGGTGTGTTAGGAATGTGTGTGTGTTAGTCTTTTGAGTTGCCACAAAATTCTTGCCACAAGCTAAAATGGGTAACCATCAGGAATGATGTCTATATGAAGACTATTATGGTTGAAATGCCTAGGAGAATGTTTTTATATCCCAAACAGGCTGGGCGCATTTCAAGAAACTTTCCTAGGTCCTCTTGAGGTGCCCTCTCCTCTTCTCTCCTTTACTGCACATTGCCCAATCTTATCCGTGTTTACTCAAGTAAATCCCACCGTGTTAGATACTTCCAGTTAGTGTTGATCTTACCAAGTTTAAATGGAAGGAAAATGTTGACTGTGACAATGAAACCTGTTCAATTACACTGGTGCCACCCTGAAACCAGCTACCTGGATTGCAGACCACCAAAGAATTCCAGAGTTGCTACGGAGAGGCAGGATGGCAAACCGCCTCTTAACATCTTTTGCCTGGAAAACCTTATGGGGTTGCCATAAGTTGGTTGTGACTTAATGGCACTTTCCACCACTACCAAGCTCTATTGAAATCAGTGGGGCCTATTTCTGCATAAGTATGAGCTAGAAGCCAGAACTGAACCACCAGCTGAAGAAACAGACACGCTATCAAATTACTAATAAATTGAAATTTATACAAATGTATGTATCTTTATAATGGATTTTTTCCCCTTAGAACAGTCTTCACTGCTATAACTAGATCTTAAACCCACTTACGAGGGAACAGCTTATCTTTGTGTATATTGGTGTTTTACTTTGCAGTTTGATGCAGATGGCTATTTCTGGGCTGTCATCCATTTGTTGTGTGCTGGTAAGTTTCTAATAAATCACATCTGAGAAAATGAAGCTTCCAGGCATATGTGTCTACTGTGCAACTCCCTTTCCTTTTGGTAGGATTTGGATTGTGGTTGTCAGTTCTTTGTCCCACAGTACAATAGCCAACAAATTATATAAGCAGAGTCTGTTTGTATTGCTTTTACTTAGAACAGAAGCTTTATCATGTCTTTTCTGTGTAGGTATATAAATAGATCCAACTTTGAATTGAATTACTCTATGAAAATGGAAGGCAAAACAAATATAAACAGATCAGAGCTCTAAAACGATTGACAAGAGTTCAGAGCCATGAAGACTGAGAACAAGAAAAGGAGATTTTGATCTATAAATACAAAATGCCATTTCATACCCTGATTTAAAAAGTAATAATTTTATAGACTGTAGAATGTTTTTAAACTTTTGCAAGAGGAAGTTAAGAAATTCAAACTGATACCCATTGAAGTATTCATTAGTTTTACCATGATATGACTTATTGATCAGAATGATGAATGATGCATGTTCCATGTCATTTAATTCACAGGGGGTTACAAAGTATATCACAAATTGCGAAGACCTAGTTCTCTAAGGTGATTTCTTTTTTTTTTCTCCTGCACTTTATTTTTATATAAAGGGAAAGAACTGCTATTGCAGAAAAAGGTTATACTGGAAAAGAAGGATCCAGTCATATAACTAAAGAAGGCTACAAAGTAAATAAATGCAAAGACACTGATCCACACTTGTGTTAAGAGTCATAATCGAATTTTTAAAAATTTTCCACACAGTTTTGTTGTTGCAACTGTATACAGCTCAGACTTTCTCCTTCATTAGCTGTTATCCTGCCTTTTTAGCTAAAAGGACAGAAATTTTGTCAAAGAACGGCCAGAGAAATCTTATTTATGGGTTATTAGCACTAACAGTAGCTTGTCATGACTAAGGAGTTGTCATAATGATACAGATAGTGACCCAAAACAAAAATGGGTCTCAAAATGTTGTTCCCTGAGAATGTATTAGTTTGGAGAGTATAATTATCCTGCATTCCCATTTCAGTCTCCAACATATTAAAGACAGCTTAAGAGTTGTTGACTTCTTCCTTATCACAGAACTAGGCAGCAATGGAATAGTCCTGGGGATTTTTTTTTTTTTAAGTTGGCTTAGCCAGCTAAGAAATGAATGATGGAATTCTTTATATCCAGACGGATTTCACATAATAGATTCGCTAGGGCAATGGAGAATGTTTGCTTTGTGTTAGATGTGCCTTGTCCCTGGTGTGAGTGCAGAGAGAGGTCAGAATGAACAACAGACAAAGAGGAATGTAAATTACAAGTAGAGCACCTGCAATGACTCATAGAAGGGGGGGGGTATTTGCCTCCCCCTCTGGGTCCTGTTTTGCTCCATTTTTCTACCTCCCTTCTACTCTGGCTCTGTTTCTCCCCCTCACCCACTCACAGGTTCCAGATAGTCCTTGTGGCAGGTGGGGATCAGTATACTTTTCAAGCTCTGAGGTGTACCTTTGGTCTTCTGGGAAGAAGGAAAAATGGAAGCATCCAATTGAAAATGAAAAATAAACAACAGTTGATCAAATCTGTCACCAGGAGAATTCTTGGAAGTAGTCCTTTCTAGAAAATGCTATTACACTTTTCCTCTCTTAAAATAGCAATGCTAAGCAGGTCTACTCAGAATCCTACTTGAGTCTATTCTATAGGGCAGGGGTGTCAAATATGCGGCCCGTGGGCCAGATCAGGCCCCTGGAGGACTTCTATTGGGCCCGCAGTAGAACTGGCTGTCTTCTGCTTCTTCCAGTTCTGCTGCTGTGTCATCGTAGGTTTACAGCTTTACATATAGCACACCTGAACAGCATACTCAAGATTGCAACAGCAAAGACATTTTGATGCAGTAAGTCAGAGCAAGAGGTATCACTTATCAGATACTGTTAAATAAACAAAATATTGCAAGAGTGCTAATGTTTTAAGCATGATTTTAAGTAAAAAAACACAAACCTTTGTGTTTGTGTCCTTTATAAAGTTTATATCTCCGCTACCTGGCATTACATTTTATGACCCCCATGGCCCGGCCTGACAAGATCTCATTTATGTCAGATCTGGCCCTCATAACAAATGAGTTTGACACCCCTGCTATAGGACTTACTCTCAGGAAACGTTTCTTGGGGTTGCATGGTAACTGACTAATTTTGTTTCTCTTTAGTGACTCTGAGCAACAGTATATAAACTATGCATCCAGGTAATGCTTCTATCTTTTCTATGAGTGTTTAATTAAGAAGCACAAAGGTAGCCTAACCAATACAAGGTATAAGAAATTTTGGGGTATATTACATAGCCTGACCAATACAAGGTATAAGAAATTTTGGAGTATATTACATTATGTAATAATTTTACTCTAACATATAGGTATACAACCAGGCTCCAGGAAGCCATGATTACACCATAACTACTTTCTGCTCCCTGTAAGCAAGCGTATGGGGAGCATTCCTGCCTCCCCCTCCAGACAGCATGCCTGCCCTGTCTCTGAACATTCGAGCAGGGCAGGTGTGCACTTGCTCCCTACTGTGTATTTTTATATTATCTGATCTGGCCCTGAGCAAATAAGTGAATTTCTTATTAAATTTCTGCCCTTTGTGGCTGTAAAGATAAAGCTTGCAGCTTGCATGCACAGTGTTTGCTGACTTTCAGAAACTAGTGTGCTAAGTTCTCAGGTGGTCAGGCATGTCCCTTTCCATTACAGAGATATAATAAAATATGCAGATTTTTCCTGCCTGCATCATTTCTACAGAATGCATATCATTTTTCCTGGGGGGAAATTTAATTTCTCTTTCAAATGCAAAATATACACAGCCCTGTTTGTAATTCAAAGAACGCAAACTGAAATAATTGTATTATGCCAGTCCTAGTCACATTAACCATTCAAACTAATTAATGGCAATTTTTATATTAATAAAATTATGAGAATTAAGGCATTAAATTCGTGTATGCATTAATGTTTTGTTATAGAAAAGCAGCGCGTAATGAATGGTGTATGATGTAATTTCATGCTCCAAAGCTATCAAGCTGCAGTCTTAGGAGTTTAAACTGAGAAGCAAATGGAATTTTGCCAGAGGAGAAGACGTACGTTTCTTGCAGCCCTATTCAGGAATAGTGTTCACATTATTGTGAGTGGTTAGATAATGCACAAGAATCATCCATCATATATTCACTAACTGGATGACTGCTGTATCCTCAGAGTCTTGTGGTGACTGAAATAAAACTAGGAATAGGAATAAAATTATATGAACATAAACTTCTCATTGCTCTTTAGTTCTAATGAAGATGAACTCAGGTATTTTATTGCAACTTCAATACAGTAGATTGCTTAATAAACCTCAGTGGTGTCTAGCTTGAGGAATTAAGGCTCATAATAAAGTGTCATGTGTGCTTTTTTGTCCCCAGTGTGGTGGTGTTGGCTTTTGCATCCCACCCAACAGGTAAAAATTAATACTTTTCTAATTTTAGAAGATATTTTGCTTTATTTTTTCTTGCCTGTTGCTTAGGAATAGAATCTGCTATATGTAACTCCTCTGATCTGTAATGTCATTGTTTGTTTCAGTGTGCATCTGGAGTTTTTGCTGTTTATTTCAGTGGAGTTAGCTATTCTATATACAGTCACATTTTGTGTAGATTGTTTCCCTGCATTGCAGTTAAAGGGGAAACTGTTCCATCTGCCTCAGAGTTGTTATGAGGACACAACAGACATTCTTCACACCATAGCCCAAGGCATAGAGTGAAATCTTTCATTTGGTGGTCGAAGTGGCCAATGAGATATTAATTGTGGTGGCCAAAGGAATAGCTGGGGCCCCCCTGAGCACTGTGGTCTACCTTGAAGCAAAATACCATCCTCCTGGACATCTTAAAACATCCTTAGCAAGGGTACCTTATACAGAGGGCAAAAGAACCATGGTCCTTGCATGTGATGTTTATTTAGAAGCACCTATATTAAAGCAAGAAATTGCAATTAGAAAATAGATACCGCTTCTGTGGGAAGGTAACAACATCCTGTGTGCCTTGGCATCTAGTCATGCTGGCCACATGACCATGGAGATGTTTTCCGACAGCGCTGGCTCTTCGGCTTGTAAACGGAGATGAGCACTGCCCCCTAGAGTCGGATTTGACTGGCTTTCGAGCAAGGGAAACCTTTACCTTTACTATATTAAAGTTATCATAATGTATTCTATTAAAACATACAAGTGTAGAGTAATCTCAAGTATGTCTAAGATTCTGCCTCAGAGTTGTTATGAGGACACAACAGACATTCTTCACACCATAGCCCAAGGCATAGAGTGAAATCTTTCATTTGGTGGTCGAAGTGGCCAATGAGATATTAATTGTGGTGGCCAAAGGAATAGCTGGGGCCCCCCTGAGCACTGTGGTCTACCTTGAAGCAAAATACCATCCTCCTGGACATCTTAAAACATCCTTAGCAAGGGTACCTTATACAGAGGGCAAAAGAACCATGGTCCTTGCATGTGATGTTTATTTAGAAGCACCTATATTAAAGCAAGAAATTGCAATTAGAAAATAGATACCGCTTCTGTGGGAAGGTAACAACATCCTGTGTGCCTTGGCATCTAGTCATGCTGGCCACATGACCATGGAGATGTTTTCCGACAGCGCTGGCTCTTCGGCTTGTAAACGGAGATGAGCACTGCCCCCTAGAGTCGGATTTGACTGGCTTTCGAGCAAGGGAAACCTTTACCTTTACTATATTAAAGTTATCATAATGTATTCTATTAAAACATACAAGTGTAGAGTAATCTCAAGTATGTCTAAGATGAGGTCATGAATCTTTTTATTCCTCCTGAAATCGCTTTTCTTTTTACCCTATGAAAACCTGAAATAGCTGCCCTGGTCAGTGAAAAAGTCAATACTTGTAAACATTTCCCACCAGCATAGTCTGCTGGGATTAAAAAATTTACTGTGTGGAAACAAATTAATTCCTTGTTCAAGGACAAATGCATTCACTAAAGCACACTTCCCTTTTCTGTAGCCACACTTTGAACTGATTATAAAATTGGTTAGCATGGAAAAGAGAAGGGAAGGTTCACAGTAAGAGTAATAGCAATTTAAAATGTCCAGATACTACTAAGAACTTGTTAAAACTAGCAGCAACCAGTTAATTGGATTTTCCAAACAGATGGTTAACTGTGGGTATTTTTATTAGTTTTTCCATTGAACAACCTTATTTCTCAGGTGATCTCTTCAGTGCCTTGGATTTTCCATTCCTGTACTTCTATAGCTTTCACAGCAGTTGCTGTGCCAGGTAAGTTTGTTATCTGACTGTGATTATCTATTTTGGATTATGAAAAGCGGTCATGGAATGGGCTGTAATCAATAATAGAGAGCATGTTTTGCATGCCAGAAATCTCAGCTCAGCCCATGCCATCTCCAGTTAAAGTGTTGGGAAAGACCCTTTTTTGCTCAAGACTGTTTGTTTAGATGGCCCAATAGTGTGACTTAATAAAGGACAGGTTCAAGTATTCATAGCAACTTTAAAGGCTGTTTAAAAGTTAAGGCACCTAAAATCTGCACGTCTTTTGAGGATCCTCATTGTATCTGAAGAAATGAACCTGGTCCATGAAAGCTTCTGCTGGAATAAAATGTTAGTCTTTAAGGTACCATGAGTTTCCTGTTTATTTTTTATGACTCAAATCAGTGAAACTGTAAAAATTTGTGGCAAGGATCTTGAATTAAATTTTATTGTTTGGCCAGTTACTCTTTCAGCCTAATCTACCCCACAGGTTTGTTGCGAGGATAAAATGGAGGAGGGTTATATGAGCTGCTTTGTGTCCCCGTTGGGGAGAAAAGCAGGTGTATAAATTAAGTAAATAAAGACTAACCACATTGGATTAGTTTATATTGAATATAATATGTTTATATTGAATATAAATCATTAGTCCATAGTATTGTAGTATTGGCAAGAGTGGTTTATTTCCTTGTACACTTCATTATTTGGATTAAAGTGTGGAGTCCATTCCCAAATGGGTCTTACTGGAGCTGGAAGTGGGGTTCTTCCAAAACATCTCAGTTGATTTCCTATTTCACTGTCTATATATTTATGCAGTATAGTTCAACCACTTGCTGTTGGAAGAAGTGTTGTTGTTTTTAAACAGATGTGGCCTTTCCAGCAATATTTGCCAAAGTTTACTTGCAAAAAGCATCATACATTTGTAATCTGTCGTTTGTCCAAAGACACTGGGCAGTTTCATCTTTTGCTCATAACAGCTCTGAGGATGTAAAAATGCTGACGTGTCCAAGAACCTCAACTAAGTTTATGGCTGTGTGAGGCTTTGAATTAGAGCTTCCTACACCCAAACCCAATGTGCCTCAGCAGTATGCAGCCTTTTGTCCTATCTAATAAATTGCAGTGTTCATCCATTGTTCATCACTTAAAGCAATTTCTGAAGTACGTGAGCTAAAAATGAGAACTGAATGGGATTATCTGCCATTCTCCACAGTGGCCTTCTGGGATTCCTTCTGACCTTACACACATTAAAGTTTAAAAACAGTACATCATCTGGACAATATGCAGCATGGAACTGTTTAGCAAAGGTAAGATGACAAGAACAATCTTTTGGTGATATTAGGCATGAGTATCTGTTTATCATTTAAATCTAAGCTCGTTCTCAAAATAATCTAATCCGAACAGTTTTCCTCAACCACACTTTATAGATACAATCAGGTGGCTATAAATAGAAGGTAAAAGGATGGTGTCTTCCTCTCCTTCAGTGCATATAGTGGGGATTCCGATTTGCATCTGGGAAGTTAGAATCAGGGTGTAGTAGTCATTCCAGATTATTAATTCTTAATGTGGACTATCTTGCAAATGTATCTGCAGACACTACAGAGGGATATCGCTGCAATAAAAATACAAACATACTATGTAAGATGATGTATAGGGATGGGAAGGAAGTGGGAAAAGGCAGTTTGTGCCTTTTTGTGGTTTGTGGCCGAACCACAAACCAAATTGAACTGCAAGGTTCGTTCGTGAACTGAACTGGTTTGTGGCTGAGCAAACCCCATTGAAGGGGACCACTGTGACTTTAAACAGGCTTTGCAGAAAGCCCGAAATACAGCTGTGTGGTGGGAAGCAATTTGCTCTCCACTGCTCAGCTGTTTCAGGCTTTCTAGTGCACAAGAAAGTCTGAAACAGCTGCTCAGCTGTTTTTGTGGTTTTCATGGGGAACAGAAAGCAGTGATTTAAAGAGACCCAGAGTCAGTTCCTTTAAACCGCACTTTCTGCTCTATCCACAAACTACCATGAACTGCTTTAAAAGTTCATGGAAGTTCATGAGGGTAGATTAAATAAGACTAGGAATCTGGTAATATTGTATGATAATCATTAGAGAACGTTGATATCTCCCTCCCTCCCTCCCTCCCTTATTGTTTGTCCCATAACAGCCATGCTCAGTGAGCTTTGCACTCTTTGCTGTCTGCACTGCCCATGTACTGTTCTATATAATGATTACCAAGCTGAGCTTTCCATTTAAGGAACAGATTTAGATTGCTTTTTTTAATCACCAAGCTTGTGCCTAGCCAAATGTCCCTCTCCAGCCATTACTTCTTTGCTATGGAGTACAAAATCTATTTAATGAGAGAACCAACAACCCAAAAATTGTGTTGGCATAAGTAAGTGTATTCCACAACACTCAGACTGTTTCAAGCATCTACTTCTATTAGTTGTTAATGTTTCTGATATTTGTGAAGTTAATTTTTGTACCTCAAACATTTATCTGCCTGTGACAAGGTAGATGTTATCCAGAGAAGCCTGTTATTTGTACCAACCTACACACAACTAGAACACTTTAGAACTTCCCTGGATCATATTTCTTTATCAAGAACAAATGGGATTTCTTTTATTAACATTGAGTCCAGTAGCAGCTTAGAGACCAACCAGATTTTTGGGGTATAAAGCTTTGTTCTTCCCATCTGATGAAGGGAGCTTTGACTCTTGCAAACTATATGTTGTATCTTGTATTATATCCTATTTGCTTATGACTTATGGGTCTATGAGCAATAAAAATGGATGGATGGACTCTTGCAAACTTATACCCGCCCAAATCTTGTTCGTCTCTAAGGTGCTATTGGACTTGAATCTAGCTTTTCTACTACAGACTAAAATGGCAACCCTCTGAAACTATTTTACCAATATGTTACATTGGCTGAGACAAAAAAGCACTCTGATGTCAAAACCAGTAGATTTTGAAGGAGCTGTTTTATGGCCTAGCCCTAGATGCTTTCTTGTTTACAGGAAGAAAGCAAACTGTAAGTGGCTGTATTCTGGGAATGTGGTTTACTAATGCACAGGTGACAGTGTCCTAAACAGACAAAGTCCTTGAGATGCTTTTCGAATGCATCCAGTGTGACTTTTTAACTCCAGTGTTTTGCCTAATTCATTAAAAATGCTGTGTGCTTGCATATGTACTTTGCAGAAGTCATACAATGCGGAAAGAAAGAAAAAATAATATTGCAAAATGGTCTCTTGTAAAGATTGGTTCATGGGCAGAAATGAGTTCCAAAGAAGGTTCGGTTGGTCTTTAGTTTGTGCCATTTCAACTGACCGTAATTCCAGAGGGGTAGCAGTGTTACAGTACAATTCAACCCTGAGCAGAGTTGCCCATTCTAAGCCCATAGATTTCGGTGGACCTAGAATGGCATAACTCTCCTTGGGACTGCACTATTAGTCTGTTGCAGCAAAATTAAACACAAGTCTAGTGGCAGCTTAGACTAAAAAAAATCATTCCAACTGGCCCTTGAATGTTTTGCTTTTGACATATTCAAAGAAGCCACTTTCATGCCTCCCTTTTTCATTTTGGAGAGCATTACTTTTTGAATTGGGAACAGATGAGCCTATTCATGTAATAGATAAAGACAGATCCTTAACCCAGTTCAGTCTCATGCTGCTCAACAGGTAGAAGCACCAGGAACATATAAGTGCTGTTCACAAGTATGTAGGAAGGGAATTTGAGTAATGAAGACTATGTACATATTACAAAGAAGCAACCAAGAGGCAGGGTGTGAGTAAAACAAGCAGGTCCTTTTCTACCTTTAATGGGCAGCCAATGATTCGTCTGAAAACATGTGATATAGTTATTGCTGAAACTAAGCAGGTCTGGGGCACCACCAGGAACCCCTTTGTGAGCTCCTCAGAGCTCCTGAGACAAAGACCAAAGTATATGTGCAATGGATAAATTAAAGCTTGGGAGTGCTCCTGGACCCTACCTTAACGATGGAGGCCCAGGTGGCGGCCACTGCCAGATCGGCCTTTTATCATCTTCGGCTCATACGGCAGTTGGTTCCTTTCCTTGACCGCAATGACCTAGCTATAGTGATCCATGCGACGGTCACCTCGAGGCTAGACTACTGCAACGCTCTCTACATGGGGCTGCCTTTGTCACAAATCCGGAAGCTACAGCTGGTGCAGAATGCTGCGGCCAGGTTGTTGGTGGGCGTTTCGGGCTGGGAGCACACTTGACCTGTGCTGAAAGCGCTGCACTGGCTGCCTATAGTATACCGGATTTCCTTCAAAGTGCTGGTGCTTACCTTTAAAGCCCTACATGGCCAGGGTCCGACTTACCTGAGGGACTGCATTTCCCCATATATACCCCAAAGAGCACTTCAGTCGGGGTCACACCACCAGCTGGTGACCCCGGGCCCTAAGGAGGCCAAGCTTGTGGCAACAAGGGCCAGGTCTTTCTCAGTGGCGGCTCCTACCTGGTGGAATGAGCTCCCAGAGGAGATCAGGGCCCTGCGGGACCTTGTGCAGTTCCGCAGGGCCTGCAAGATGGAGCTCTTCCGCCAGGCTTATGAGTAGGAGCCGCCACGGCCACTTACACCACTGCTCCTTTATAGAGAGAGACCGCTGGAGGGGTTGGGCAACATCTTTCCATTACCCCAGCCTTCCCCCCTCCTGCTACGCAAGATGTTAGGAGTCTATATGTGCATCCGTAGAATTGATTTTAATCTGTTTTAATTTTGTATTATGTAATTTTGTATACTGCATGCAGTTAGTGCCCTATGTGAGCCGCCCTGAGCCCGTTCATGGGGAGGGCGGGGTATAAATGCAATAAATAAATAAATAAACCAGCATCTATTCAAGATTATTTATTTAGCCTTTTTTTAGTTTAAATTTGAGATTAAATCTCTTCATATATATTTTCCATATCACATTTCAGAAATAATTTGTTGTGTGTGTGTGTATATATATATATCCATATATCCTTGAAAGACTGAGATTTCAATTGAACAATGCCAATTTTTGATGAGTCATTTACTGTGTGACCTCTCTGACCACAAGGTTTGTATTGGTGGGTGTTATTTGCATTATCTGTGTCCACCCACATATGTGCCCACATGCACAGTAAAACTTAATCTCAACACCCCCAATACTCTACTAGAAGAAGGGCAAATTTCAATTTTAATATGTGTGTGTCACCTTCAAAACTTGTATATGATTATAAATCCTGGTGTTGTACTTTAGTATCTAGTTTTCAGACTGGTTGTCTCTAATTTAATACCTATCAGAAACAGTAGCCAGTATTTGAGAAATCTGCAAAGCAAACTTGTGTACCATTTTGATACCTGAAGTAGATGGTGGAGAGGAGGATTGATGCAGGTAAATTGTTGTAGCTGTAAGTGTAGATTTTCTGATTGTTTCCATAGAGACAGCTTGATCATAGTTTTGTAGCATCCAGCACTAATTATTATCCTGTAACTACTGGAAAGACTTCAAACCAGTCTCCATAACAACACCTTGATGTCTAACATAATTATTAAACTTATAGAAAAAACAGAATTAGGTGCCATTAGATAATTAAAAACACGATATCATTAGGAATCTCCTTCTAATAAAAGCAATCCAAGTAAAATAATTTGGGTGAGATTAAGAGAGCAATCTTAAACAGGTCTAGTCATAAACTACTCAAGTCTATTCAGTATGGCTTACTCTGAGAAAAATGTTTTTAGGATTGCACTGTAAATGTGTCAAGAATATACAAAATCATGTTTTAAAGTTTTTTTAAAAGGTTTTCAGTGAATTAATTGCATATACATGTATAAACAAAATACTGAGGAGGACATAACAAAAATTAGAAGTTGAATTTTAACATGCAATAAGCATGGATAGAAGTGGTAATCAGAGCGTGGGTCACCATGGGAAGATCACAGGGTTTTGGAGAGTGTAATTCATCCTTTATTGAAGAAACCCTTTCTTGAGGGTTCTAGCCAATTATAGCCAGTTTGCAAACATCTTTTCCTAGGGAAAGTGATTGTGTTGTGGCAGAGTTTAGGAGCTCTATTAGTTCTGCCCATCTGCTCAAAAAGCAAGTTAGTATAATGGCAAAGAGGTCAGTTACATCTAGCTTCAAAGTTATCTCTCCTACTAGACTAGGCAAATCTGTCTTCACTGATCCATGCTTCAGTGACCTTCAGGCTTGATTTTGTAACACACTGCTCATGGGGCTATCTTAGAAGACCTTTGGAGCTTCTATTGATTCGAAACACAGCAGCCTACTATCTGTAGTGAATAATTTTGATCCTATTACTCTGATCTT